GTCCATTGGCCAGCGGCGGCAGCGTTGGTAAGGATGACGGCGGCGTTGGTGACAAGGACGGCAGCGGGCGGCGGCGTTTGGTGACGAGGATGGTGTCGGGGTCTGCTATGTTTTGTGTGTGCATTGTGTGTGAGAGAGGACGTGTTTGTGTGTGGAAGAAGATGGAGGTGAGTGGTCATGTGTGGTGGGCTCCCTTTTTGTTATGTGAGTGATGGGTAATGGGTTAGTAGAAAAATGGCTAATGTTTTCCGTTTTTTATTATGTGGGTGTAACGCCCCATTTTATTTTAAAGAGTTTACCGAATTTATTTATAAAAATCAGAGTTTATTTTTCGCAAAATCCCAATTTAAAACTTTAATATTCAACGGGCGCTACTTAAACAATTAAAATGAATAAACATTTACACAGCTAAACTCTAACAGTTCAAAATAAAATTCCAAATATTCAAATCCTCAAACCCAGTCATGCATAATTAAATATTCAACATGTTCGAAATAAATAAAGCGGAAGCATAATTATTCAAAGATAAACAGATGGCATATCGAGACAATAAAAGAAGAACGGAAGCAAGTAACACACAATCCAACGACCACCACTCGATCGTCTCTCGCTGCCGCCGCCAACTATGCTCAACCTAAAAGATAGGAAGAGGAACAAGAGGACAGAAAAGTAAATGGGGGTGAGTACAACCATCATACTCACCATTACCGCACAGTATATTTCGCATAAAAATCCATAAACATAAATAATGTATGCATAGAATCCAGATCTAACTCCCTATTAGGTCCTATCGCAAACCTCCTATGTACATACAACAATCCTCCCGACCAGACATCGGCGAGGATGTAACTGGAAGCACTCCCACCCCGGATGCAACGGGCGTAGGATCTTACCAGGAGACAGTGAAGTTGAATTACCCCTCCTCTCTACACGGATTCGGGCATTCAGACATTCCCCTCCGCTCTACACAGATTCGGGCGCCCACCTCCCGGATGCAACGGGCAATGACTTCCACTGATTATGCATTCGTCAAAGGCACTACCATCAGGACACTTAGACTAGGGTTCTCACACATACAAAAACTATCGCGAAAAACATTTATACGAAATAACAACTGCGATAAATGTAGATTCACCATAAATGAACCCACCTGGTAGCGATCGAATCAAACACAAAATAAATGGTAGTCGACGATGTCGACTCGTCAAACACCTACATTTATTAAAATATCCTTATCAAAGACTATTCGACAATTTACTTAGTTCAACTAAGTCCACGTAAGCATTCAAGCATACATTAAACCAAGGAAGACACATTTCAGAAATTATCACATAAGTTTGGAAAATTTAACCCGGGCAGCGTTTTTGAAATCGATATAACCTTCAGCACACAACTCGTATTAACACAAATCAAATTGCATTGGAATCCTAAGAGATGAATCTACAATTTTTATGAAGACACTGAAAGCAAATAAGGTCATTTAACAGGTGATAAATCAACAAACATTCAAAATTGAGTCATATTCCAAAACTGGGAAAGTAAACTTGACCAGACTTCAGTAGTTTCTATATAACTGGAGCTACAGGCAAGATTTTAATGAACTTCAAAATCCACATGATAGATAATTCAATTGTCTACAACTTTTCTGAAGATTACATTAGCAAATAATTACATTATCCACGAGTTTAAACACAAAACATGTGATTCAGTAAAACTGTCAAAAATTAACATATGATATGGACAGCACCTAAGTCATTATCATTTAACTCGAGCTACACACCTTCAAATGATATGGTTATAGTACCAAATTAAACCTTAGGTATGTCTCTACAACTTTCATTTAGAACACAGAATCATATGAGATCATTTGGATGGTGCAAAATCGGTTAACATTCATTTTTAGATTTCTGCCAACATGATAATTCCTAACTCATGCATATCTAACTTCATAAAATCATAACTCGAGCCACAGAGCACATATAAACATGAAATTTATCTTATTTGAAAGGTAAGAAACAAATCTATAACTTTCATGAGAGTCCAAGTTCATAAGAGCACGTTATGACATGAAAAACATATCAAATATTAAACACAGTTATGCTGCCGGGTATGGGAAAAACTGAAAGTACAATAAATTTTGTAAAAATCATAACTTTTCCGATATAGATCGAAATCGAGAAATTCTAAAGCCCAGATATAGAAAATTCAGCATACTACATATCTCATGAAGGGCACAACTTCAAATATTCAGTCTATAATGGCTCAAAACGCAGCACAACAGAGCAGTGAAAAACATGATTTCACATAAAATGACAATCACATAAAATATCAATGAATACAAAACGGATGGGTCGAAACTCGACAACGATCAATATACTTTCTCGACAGCAACTAAACGAGCACATTGAGGTTCAACATAGTAATAACATGATATTCGGTTTAACGAGGTCACGAGCATAACCCGATAAACAAAACGACATATACGAGCCGATAACAATTCTAACCAAAATCCAACTTCAAACAAATAATCGGTAATACGCATGATATATTTAGCTATCATGTAATATACAAACACGACCGGAATAACGAGAGGATTCGAATGAGTTACCCGCTTTCGAAAATCTACGAGTTATCGGGAGAAAAACGGGCCGAAGAACGGGTCGGAGTTCCGCCGGAAACACGGGAACGGAGGGAACTTGCCGGAAAAGAGCTCGAGGAGGCGCTGAGACTTTGCTGCTGGTCGTGCTCGAGGCTGCTGGGGTTGGTCTCGCTCGCCCGAAAAATGCAGCAGCGAGGAGATGAGCGGGGGGTGGTGTTGGTGAGCGGATGATGAAGGTGGTCGGAGATGGTGATCTGGGAGTAGCGAGAGTGGCGACGGATGAGGTGATTGATTTCAAATGACGATATTACATCCGCACGCTATAAAGCCGAGAGATGGGAATTGAATGGAATGAATAATGAAGGGAATCAATCCGCTCATAAATGAAGGAGAAATGAAGGGAATTAATCTGTTGAATATATGCGTTACTACTGGAGATATAAGGGGAAGGAGACCCGGTCGTGAATTTCAAAATTGAGCAGATAAGATTTTATCTGTTTTTGGGTCGACTGATAAAAGAAGGAAACGGGAATTTTATCTGTTTTGGCTTTGCTAGATAAAAAAAAAATATAGCATAATCCCTTTTATTTAGAACTCCAAAGTGGGCCAGAATATTTATCAATTGGGCTCAGGCTCGAATCAAAATCGACCGGTTCTCTCGGGCTCGACTCGAAAATTAAACGAGGCTTGGTTCGACGCGGCGAAATTAAATCCGGCTAATACACAAATAATAATAATAATACAGATACACATTTAGGAAATTAATTACACACATCATTTATTTATCTGTAACAATAAACAATTAACGCAATTACGAGCACATATAAAATAAATAATTTTATTCGGACAAATAAAAAAAATAATAATTATTTTTCAAAATAATCTGGGATAAATAGGGCGCTACAGTGGGCCCACGTTTTGTCATGTGATGGGTTAGTAGGAAAATGACCAATATTTTTGGTTTTTTGTTTGGCCCGCCCACGTATTCGGTTTACTCAATATTGTGCAATCTGATATTTATTAGTGTGCAATTCGTCATCACTATTGTGCACTCGCAACAACAACAACAACAACAACAACAACAACAACAACAACAACAACAATAATAATAATAAAGTAATATATTTCAGGCAGTTCGATTATTTTAATTATAATAAAAAATAAAGCCGACAATGAATTGAATTGCTAGATACTTTAAAAGTAAAAAACAAACAATCGAGCCGAGAAATTTAGTTTTGCCGGTTTCTGTAGCTATTTCGCAATCTGCTATTTATTTAATATGCAATAGATTTAACAATATTGTGCACGGTCTCGGTAGCTATTGTGCAGTCTGACTGACTCAACATTTGTCCACAACTAAATTAAAACCGAACCAAATTAAATGGTTTATTCGGTCGTTAGTCAAACTAACCAAATAATCGAAATCATATATTATATATATTACAAAATCATCTATATTATTTTAAATATTTTATAGTTAAAATGATAATATGTTTTTGTATATAAACATAGCAGAAAATAATATTTTTTATATAGTTAGGTCGATTCACTTATATCGATTTTTTTTAAAAATAAAGTATGACAAACTGAAATAACCGATGTTTTAAAAATAAAAATATATAACTGAACCGAAATATAAAGTTTTGAATTGAAAATTTTATTTGGGTCAGTTTTAGTCAATATTGTGCATTCTGATAGGTATTAGTGTGCAATTCGTATAACATTATAGTGCACTTGCATATCATATATTTTTTTAATGATTTTTTTCCAAACCAACGTAAATCGAATTGAAATAACCAGTTCTTTCTATCCGTTAATATTTTAATTCAACATTTTATATATATATTTTTAAAATATATAATATACGTACGTAAAAAAAAAAATTATATAAAAATATTAATGTGCAGTCCGTGTGACAATAATGTGCAATCCGTATAGTAATATTGTGCTATCCATTTTTCTATTAATGTCCATTTATTAACTTTTTATAAATTTACCTATAAACTTAATTGTAATATAATTACATTTTTTAAAATAACAAATAAATCATCAAGTTTTCAAGATAAAAGAATCCCCCCAAATCNCTCCCCGCCGTTGGCTTCCGATTCATGATGTTTGGCACCCCCCCTCCCTCTGCCGCCCCATCCTCGATTGGAATCGTCTCCCACACCCCTCCCCGTCCAAAGCCCTATTCTCCGACGTGTTCATCGACGGGATCCATTGACTCTCCGCCGAGCTATGCATCAACCGCTACACCTTCGTCTCTTTCGGCACGTCCGCCGTCTCCTTCGCCAACGCCCTCTGCGCGAGATACCACGGTGTCGGACCCCCGCCCACAACTCCGAATCTGTCCCTGTGCCCGGTGGCCCGAATTTCCACAGTTATACTGGTGGCGCTAGGACTGTGACGGTAGTCGGACCAATTCCGGTGGTCGCCGGGGACAACGACTGGCCTCTGCGTGTTTATATGTCGTGACCCTGTGTGTGCCGATTTGCTCTGTGTGTGTGAGTAAGAGAGAGAGAGCGAGTGAGGTGAATAGAGCAGGCGGAGGAGCGGCGACGGCTGCGGACGGGCGGTGGCGGTGGCGGACTTGCGGTGGCGGGCCGGTGACTGTGTGTGAATGTGTGTGGGTCGATTGTGTGTGTGTGTGTGTGAGAGAGAGTGAGTGTGTGGGGTGCGAATGATGGTTGGATTGACAGGTGTATTAATGTGATATGTGCCCTAGGTGTGGAAAAATACCATAATATTCTTAATGAATGTATAATTTTAATTTGTTTTAGGCATTAGATCATCCGATCTAATGGTTATGATTTATTCTTATTTCTTTCATTGAGAACCATTCTCACTGGAGCGTGACCCTAGAAATAAGAATACATCGGAGTCGTCCGATCAGATAATCCGACGACTAAGAAAAAACTGAACAATAATACTAATTAAGGGTAAATTTGACTTTTTCCAATCCAATTACAACCAGGCCCCACTCCATCACACCCATACCACCCGACCTGCCCCTCTCTCTCTCTCTCTCTCTCTCTCTCACACAGACACACACCTCCTTCCTTTCACAATTTTGTCTGCCCGCCCTCTCTCTCTCACACACACGCACAACTTACCGTCAGAATTTTGTCCGTCGGTCGCCGTCCCGACGTCCCACCGCCTGTCAGTACCTCCTCCGCCGGTCACACACATAACACACGCGAACACAGAAAACACATAAACACATAGTCCACCTCCTCTGCTAGTCCACCTCCGCCACCTGGCCGTCATCCGCCTCCAACACAACCTCCTCTCTCCCCCCTTCACCCACTTTCCACCGACGGCCTATGTGTCGCCACACAGTTCACAACGGTGACATCATGAAGCTGTCGCCATCGATGGCCTCCGCCTGAAAACGACAGCGTCGCCGCTGAGCGAGAACGGTCACCGCCTCCGCCTATATTTCTCCTCATCCGTCTGTGCTGCTGCTCAAAGCCATCTCGACGACGCCACCGTATCACAGGTCTCGTCTGTGCGCCGCCGCCGGAAAAAAATCCAGCACACACCAATTCTCGTGATGCCTAAATCTCGCCGCCGCCGCCGTCTAGAAGCCCTATGCTATCTTCTGTATCCCGTCGCCGCCGCGTCTCTCCGTTCACCAGACCGCCGGGAAGAATTTTGAAGAGAATCTCATGGATCGTGAATTTGGGAATGGGGCATCAATTTAGAAATTAGATAATGCACATGGACTAAGTTGCAATTTTAATAGTTTTAAGATTTCGCAATCTAGGCATTTGGGTAAATCTGTAATTTTCTAAAAGTTTGATAATAACATATATATATTATGTATTTTAGTTGATAAATAATACAAAATATTAAATAAATATATTAAAATATTACATATAATTTATAATATAAATAGTAAATTATTTCATTTATTTCAATAATAAATTAAAAATCGGAATTTAGGATTTCATTGACCTTTTTTTTAATAATGCACTTCATATATCAAGAAGTTGCACTTTATAAAAAATATGTTGCACTTTATAAAAAAAAATACTAAATATATTTTTATAAAAAATAAAATTTATAAGTACAAAATATATTTTTATAAAAAAAATAAAATTAATAAACACTAAATATATTTTTATAAAAAATTATTTGAATTTTGAATGCACATAATTGTTATACGAATTGCACATTAGTGACTACTTGATTGCACATTAATGACTGAGAGATTGCACCATACCGATTGAAACCGAGCGAACTAAGACTTTGGGTCGGAATTAATATGTCGGCTCCATTATATGTTTTTACCTTTAAAATTTAGTTATTTCACTTTGAATTTACATTTAATTTTAAAAATAAACGAAATAATTGAATTGTCAAAGTACATAAAAATATTATTAATCAACAGACATAATAAATAATAAACAATATATGTTATTTAGATAATTTAAATTTATAAATACTAAATATATTCTTATAAAAAGTACTTGAATTTCGAATGCACATAATTATTATACGAATTGCACATTAGTGACAAATTGATTGCACATTAATGACTCAAAGATTGCACCATACCGGTTGAAACCGAAAATGATATAAGATATCCAATAAATATATTTAAATACTATATATATATATATATATATATATATATATATATTGGTTTTAGTTTAGTTTGAGACAATTTATTAATCAATATATGCACCTTAAGTGCACCTTAGCATTAGTCGAATTGCACATTAATGACTACCAACTTGCACTATACCGATTGAAACCAGGCGAACTAAGATTTTAGTTCGAAATTTATGTCGGTTCGATTATCTGTTTTTTACAATTAAAATTTAATTATTTCAGTTAGTTTTCATATTTAATTTAATTTTTAAAATTACTGAAATAACTGAACTGACAAAATTATGTAAAAATAATAGTTTTTGTATATTTTTTATATAAATATTGTTTTTTTAAAGAAAAACAAAATGTAAAATGTTAGCTTTAGTTTGAATTTTACATTATTTATAAAATAATAAATAATATTTTAATTCGTTTAATTTGAGTAACCGATCAAATAAACTATTTAATTGTGTTTGGTATTAAAATGTTTTGAAATAAAATATCGATTGATTTATATGCACAATAGCAACTGAAAATTTGCACAATATTGTTAAACAAATTGCACGTTAATGTATATATTGTTGCACATTATTGGGCATTTTATTTATTATTATTGAGCATGTATTGAGGTTTTATTAAATTATATATTTGACATAAGTATTAAATTGAAAATTCGACGAGACCAACCAATGAATAACCTAAACGAAGTGACTTTTTGATAAGTTTGTGAACTTCTATATGTATAGGCATCAATAAATTTATGATTTCATAAAAATATGGTGTTATTTTTTAATGTGCAATTTCTTTACACGATAATGTGCGATGTCTTACACGTAATGTGCAATTTATGTAACATTGTTGTTGAAGTCCTAAATTTTTATTATATTATATATTGACCACAAACTAAATTAAAATACAATAAGATTTTACAATTTGCAAAAAGATCCTTACCTATATCAAATTATCATAAAAAAACCCCACAAATCTAAAAAGTTGAACACCACAAATCACGTCTGCCGGAGTTTACTCAGGCCGGTTTCGTCAACGCTGCCGGCGCGCCGTCGCCGGCGCCGTACTCGTCGCCAAAGTCCCAATCAACCNGCAACCAAAAAAAAAAAAAAAAGAAAAAGAAAAATTAATCCACTGCACAGGTCGTCGCCGCCGCCGTCCATTCTCCTCCGCCATCCTCTCGTAGCCGCCATCGTCCGCCAGTCGACGTCCTGTCCATCCCGACATCATCACCCAAACACACACACACACACACGAGTTGGATACCGCAGATGGCAGCCTGGTTTGGTTTATCGGCGACGACGGCGAGGAGGAAGGGGCTGTGTGTTGCCGGGGAATTCTGAGTCGCGGACATCGACGGCGATAGGTTAGTAGTTGTATGCCGGAGCGGTCTGGGGGAAGCCGCGTGCGGCGGACCTATACAGGTGACGGGCTGGTTTCCGCCGTTGGTCGCGTATCTCCGGCGATGTGAGGCGGAGGCGCGGCGGCGGCGCTCCGCCTCTGAGGAGGCGTCGCCGTTTTCTCTGTGTGTGGAGAAGTGTGTGTGTGTGTGTGGGTGGGTGATAATGTGGGTGACGGGTAGGTGGGATGGGTGTAGGGTTAATGTGAGGTGGTGGGTCCCTATTGTGTGGTTGATACAAATGTCTAAATTAACCTTAATTAGTGGTAAAATCTATATATTTAACCATCATATATCTACTTATTTACCATATCGCCATTAATGATTGACCATCATTTATTAAAGGTTGACTTGATCATGACCATTAGTATGATGTATCCAATGTTCCACATTCATTCTTATTTCTTTCACTATCTACCATTCTCATGACCATTAGAATGGTATATATATATATATAGTTGGGATTACATGAGAATGGTAGATAGTGAAAGAAATAAGAATAGATCTGGACCATGAGATCAAGCATATTAATGGTTAAGATGAAGTCAAAATATGGTCAATCATTAATGACAATGTGGTAATTATTTGATCTTGGTGGGTCAAATATGTGCATTTGACCAATAATTAAGGATAATATGGTACATTTAATTCAATCCTATCAACATGTGGGACCCACCACTACCATATTAATTCCTCCACAAATTCATACCTAACCCACCTACCCCCTCCCTCATTCTCTTACACACACAAATTACAGAACACACACACACACATTCACGCACTGTGAGATGCCGGACCACCGAGGAGCCACCGCACAAGCCGCGTCACGCCGTCGCGCCTGCAACCAACTCGCCTCTCGACATCCCTGACATCCGCCGGACACAACCACACTCTCTATCTCACTGTTACCATGGCAACACCTCACCGGAAAATCGCGTCGGCTTTCCACCACTGTCGATGGTCGTCATCTCCTCCAACACATTCGTCGTCTCTCCGCCAGATCCCCAATAGCTCGGCACAGATCTGGCGCCGGGGATGACGTCTCCGCCACAATATGTCCCAAAAGCACGGAACAGCTCCGCCGGCGGTCTCCACCAAAACCGCTCCTCAACAGTCCAGCACAACTCGGCCATCTCCCACGCTCAGTCGTATCTGGCATAGAAGACCGCCGTCGATCCACTGGACACCATCGGGTGGTCGCGACTCGAGAAAGTCCGCCGGGAATGGACAGAGAATGAGTACAGGACCTCTGCAAATTTGCCGCCAACGTTACACCGGCGCGGTGAATCGGCGACGTGTCGTCTGACGGCTCACAGCCGTCGGCGGAGGCGGCTCGTACGGCAGGGGGCGACTATAAGGTGTTGTGGATTGGGGTTGTTGTATTAAGAATTTGATAAAATATAAGGACCTAGTTGCAACTGTAAAGATATCAATCTATTACAATTAAGTTCATGGGACATATTTATAATTAATCGAAAATTTTAATTGGACAGTTTTGATCGTTATTGTGCAATAATAGTCGTTTATGTGCAACCTGTCTAACAAATTGTGCGATATCAATACGTAATAAATGTATAATAATAATAATAATAATAATGATGATGATGATGATGATGATAATAATAATATTTTATATAGTTCGATTGATTCGATTATTTTGTTATTTTAAAAGATAATGTAGACATCGAACCTGAATAACTGATATTTGAAAAGTAAAAATAGATATTCGATATGAAATATAAAAGTTTAGAATGAAATTGTATTTTGATCGATTTATGACTATATTGTGCAATATGATAGTCATCACAGTGCGATCTAAAAACACTATTGTGCACTTGCATCACATGCATTTTTTAGTTATTTGTTCCATATCAAATTAAAACTGAATAGAAATAATCGGTTTATTTGATTAATTAATCGAAATTTCCTAAATAATATAAAGATTTATTATTCATATTATGAAAAAATATATTTAGTATTTTAATATTTATATTTAATATTTTACATTATTACTGTTTGGAAATATATGATAATAGAATAGCGAAAGCAATGGAAATATATGATAATAGTCAATAAAGTGCAACCCCGTTGACAATAACGTGCATTACAACATTATTGTGCATTTTATTTTTTACATTTTTTTTATGTGCATTCAACTTTATAAACTTTAATAATGTGTTCTAATTAACGTTACTTTGCATTTATCAAGTAACTTATATATGACAAAATATATTTAATAAATCTGTTTATATTCAATATTTTATATTATAGTTTGTGGAAAATAAATAATGGTGTTTTTTAATTAATTTATTTATTTTAAAATTAAGTCAAAAGTGAATTGAAAAATCAGAATTTTAATATATGTGAAAACACACACTTTTTTTATGATATTGTGCATTCACAAACGCATTAATGTGCAATCGATATAACATTAATGTGCAACATTATAATCAATAATATTCATTTGTTTAGTGTGCGTTTATTTTTTTGTTTTTATGTGCAATCCAAACCTAAATAATTAAAATATTTCATTATTTATTATTATTAAAATATATTTAGTATTTCAATATTATTATTATTTTTTTGGTTAAAATAAGAAAAGTGTTTTAATATAGTACTTTTGTTTAATATTTTATAGTATACACTTTATTTATCATTAATATGCATTTATGAGATATTTCTATATTCGAAATCGAAATATTTAATTAATTCATTTTCGATCATTATCTGCATTTCGTGTAACATTATGGTGCAACTTGGTAGTCGTTAAAGTACAATATTATTTATGATTTAAAATACACAAATTAAACATGTATAAAAAATATATACACACTATACCTTGTGTGTTACTCATCATAAATAATAAATAAAATGTCCACTAATGTGCAACCAAATATACATTAATGTGCAATTCCTGTAACAATATTGTGCAAAGTTTCAGTCGCTGTTGTGCAATATAAACCAACCGATATTTTGTTTCAAAACACTCTCATACAAAATAATGTGCATTTAATCTATAATAATTATGTATTTGTTAAATTTTCATTAAATTACATATTTACCTCTTGAATTAAATTGAATATAATGAAGTTATCTAAAATTGCATATAAGTCCCTTAAATTTATCAAACTTACAAAATATTGAACTAACACTAAATCTAATAATTCACTGTTCAATTTCATCTCTCTTTTCAGATGCACTCAATCTCTTGACTTCCTTGACTCCTCACCTTTATGACCCGATCGAGCACACTTGAATGCACCAGAGAGAAAGAAATTGGGGATCTAAGAATTCACTATCAAATTTCTGAAATTGGGGCCAAATTCTGAAATAGATTCACGTTGACGGCGCCGGCGGTTCAGGTGGAGACCTGAGGTCGTTGATGGGAGGACGTAAATGGAGAATCAGCGGCGAAGGTTGAGGTGGCATCTGCGGAGGTTGAGTCGGCGGTGGTGAACGTCGATGAACCGGAGCTGGCGGGCCGCGTTGTTGAGAAGGGATGACGAGGTCGACGACAGCGGCTGTGTCGCGACAAAGGCTCACTCGTTGCTTTAATGGCGTGTCCGGCGACGGGTTGTGGTGGGGTTGCGGAGGGGCTGCGGCTGGTTCTCGGGCGGCCAAAAACGGCGAGCGGCGACGAACACGACACCGTACTGTGGCAGGACTATGACGGTGGTCGAAGCAATGGCCTGATCGGGCTGTGCGTGTGTTTGTGTGTTTTCTGTGTGCGTGTTTAGGTGTTCGTGTGTGTGTGTAAGAGAGAGAGAGAAGAATGTGTGTGTTTGGTCTGTGTGTGTGCGTGCGGTACGTGTGTGTGTGTTTGAGAGAGAAAGATTAATGAGGGAGGTGATGGGTTTGTTGGTAGTGGGTCCCACTTAAATGTATTGATATAATGTCTAAATTACCCTTAATGAATTCACAATGGTATATTTTTTATGACCGTTAGATCATCCGAGCTTATGTCTACCATTTATTCTTATTTCTTTCACTAAGCACCATTCTCATGTGAGCGCGACCATATATATATATATATAGATTCATTGTGGGTGTTCTTAGAATATACTCTCTCCTATTTTTAATAAATGTCGTTTTGAGAAGTTGCACAATAATTAAGAATATTTTTTTTTTGCCAATAATAACCCTCATTAATGAGGATAGAGATTGATGTTTTGAGAAAATATGGAGAGTGAATATGAAAAGACGTAGTGTATTTATTAGTTAGATGAGGGTAATAATGGAAAAATATGTACAAAATAGCCAAAACGACATTTATTTAACAAATGATCAATTAAGCTAGAATGACAAATAATAAAAATAGGAGGGAGTACAATATTACTATTCAGGTGCTCATTATACAACTCATTTTCATTATTATCAGATAACTACTGTTGATACCACTAAACTAAACTGTAGTGCCCATTCGATTTATTCGAGTTCTCGTATTTTATTATTATTCTGCATTTTATTTTAATTTCTCGACAAACATCTCGATTAGACTTATTATAATTAGATGTCCTCGTCTAATTAATCTAATAGGTCGTATAGTTTTATTATTTATTCGTCGTCAATCGTTCAATCGTCCGAAATCCTTCGAGTTCTCGTGTTGTAGTCTTTCGAGCCTTTTTCCAAACGAAACTTGAGTTTGATACTCGGCCCCCTTTATTTTGAAAATTTTTTCGGTCCAATCAGGTAATTTTATTCGGCCCTTTTTGTTAAGATTTTCGGCCCAAATTGATTTAGTTTTTCAGCCCCTATTGAAGTAATTTTATAGGCTAAATTGCATTAATTTTTAAGCCCATTTGAAATATATTTTATTGGCCCATTTCCTCTTTAGTATAAACTTTGGGGAGAAAATTGCAAATTTCGTCTCATAACTTTGACTGTTTCCCACATTTGGTCTCAGACACGCCATTTATGATCCTTTTTAATTTTTCGTTGCCAAAATGGTCCCACTCCATCAAGACTTAACAGTCTCACTCATTAAATGTTAGTGAACGTTCACACCTAGAAAGGAAAGAATCAAATTTTAGGAATAAATTTGCATTTCTCAAACGAGTGGGACCACATTTGTATTTTTTTTTTTAAAGGAAAGAAAAACGAGTTCTTCAAGTTTGTGTAGAAGAGAAGCCATATTATTTTGATGTTTAATTTAAAAGTGGAAATTTGACTTTTTGTTTAAAAAGTTTTACTTACTTTAAAATATTTTTTTGAATGAAAACTAAAATTATATTTTTATCTTATTGTGCATTTTAATTTTCAAAATTGCATGCCAAAATATTGTTCATTTTTTGGAATATTTGATTAGTCCTATTTTCTTGAAACATATACATATCAACAATTTTGTTTAAAAATCCAAATATGTTTAAAAGTGTAAGTGTAAAAAAACTATTTATATTATTTTTATTAGAAACATATTTTAAAAAGTTTTAGTAAATGTTAAAAAAAGGTATAATACTATTCTTTCCTGAAAATACATTTAGTTTATTTTTTAATAAATTAAAAAAGATAAATACAACAAATATACAATTTTTTCACAAGTTTTAATTTTTTTTGTAACTTAAAAGAGTAAGTGATAAAAATTATTTAAATTTATTTTTACTAGAAACATTTTTTTAAAAATTTTTTAGTAAATTTTAAAAAGGTATATTACCATTCTTTCTTAACAATACATTTAGTTTATTTTTTAATAAATTATAAAAGATAAATATAACTAACATACAATTCTTTCCATATTATTTTATTGCAAATTACGTTTAACTTGATTATTTTACATAAAATGATTATTTAATTGAGTAACTTAACAAAAGGTGTATAAAATAATTAGTTCGTGATAAATTAGATGCAAAAAAATATATGACATATTTTACTATAAATAAGTGGGAGCAAATGTTTATTTTCACTTAATTTAATGCCAAGTTTTGTTTTATTATACTTAAAATTGACATTTTTTATGTTGATGTAATTTGCATAAATAAATAAATTTTTCAATTTATAGTTGTCAAAATCAAATTAATAAATAAAAAATTATTAAAATAAAAGAAAGAAAAAAAAAAAAACAAATACATCAAACACCTTTAGCAAAAAAGAAATCTTGCCAATCCTTGAGAGCAGCCTTGATGACAATGTGGGTTGGCATGAGAGTGTTTTGAAAAATCCAGAGGTTCCTGGATTTCCAGAGCCACCATAATAAATAAGTGTATTAATTCGTATTATTTTATAAAGTTTGTAAGGATATACATAAATTATCACAGTATACTAATATTTAAAAGTGTAGACAGATTAGTATTATTGTAAACATACTCACATTCTTTTCTTATTTTGATAAATTGGATTATGTCTTTTGGTTTACTTTATTTAATTAAAATAATATTATTTCTAATTATTCTCTAATTTAAATAATATTCAAATAATTGACAATATTTTTAATGTAATGATGGTAAAAGTATTATAAAGTAAAATAAACACCACTCAATTAGCAATTATATCGTTTACTTTTCTACCCCAAATTAAATTTATCAACACTCTTACTTTTCCACCCGATATTTATTTTTATAAAATTATTTTTAATATTTATTTCTCGCATCATATTCATAGTAAATTAATTTTATTATGTCATTTCGGCTTTGAGTGAATGAGAGAGACTAATTCGACTTTCAAGTTAAAAAATATGAAATTACCAAATTTGTCTCATATGATTGGTCTCAAAAGTTGCTAAAGTCTTGAACGTGAGCCCTGTTAATTTCATTCAAATAATTTATTATGAAAGTAAGTCAAACTATTAAATTAAAAAAGTCAGTTTTTCCACTTGTGAATAAAACATCAAAATAATCTGAATTCTCTTATTGACGAACTTGAAAAACTCATTTTTTTTAAAAAAAAAAAATTCAAAATTGGTCCCAAAAATTGCAAAATTGGTCCAATCTAACGTCTTCACGTGAGCCCCGTCAGTCTTGACGGACGTGGGAAACAGTCACGTGCCTGGGACCAAATGTGGGAAACAGTCAAAGTTATGGGACCAAATTTGCAATTTTCTCAAACTTTGGGCCTTTGGGGAAAGATTTTTTTTAAAAGTCATGGCCTTTGACCGGCTCTCTCTTTTCCCCTATCTGTACGAGTTTCAGTTGCAATTTTGGCGAGATTTTTCTCGCACGTTCGTTCTCCTCTCTATCGCGTACATATATTCCAGATCGAGAGAAGGCTCTCTCATCTTCGTAATCTCACAGCAGTTTTATTATATTTTCTCCTTCACCCTTCGCGTAGCAGCAACCCTCAATTTAAAAAAATAAAAATAAAAAAATATAAAAAACAAATTGCTTCACCTTCTTTTCCGGCGAGAGTTCTGTTCGTCGGCGTCTCTCCGAGCAGCCCTTGTCGTCGCCGACCACCACGTGCCCTCGCAGCTTTAGTCTACTCGTCACAGCAACCTGTCTGTTGTCTGTGCGAAAGGCCGCAGTCCACGTCCGCCATTCTGTTCGGTGACCCCGTCCGCAAACTGCCGTCGACGATGAGGACCTCAATACGTGAGCCTGCCGCTGTTCGTCGTCAGCATTCCGTTCGTTGACCCTCCACAAAGCCCATTCACGAGTCTCGTCTGATTTTTTTTTTCAAACAAGCACGTTTGATTCCCGAAGGAAGGTATATTTGTTGGCATGGAGAATTTTCTGCATGAAATTGAAGATGGAATATGAAGTCGCATAGCGTTTTCTATTCTTATTAGGCATTTTACTTTTTAGTGGTTTTTACTCTTTTGTCCTCAATTCGTGTTTTCTCTGTTGGGATCTGTGAGGATCTCGATAATATGCAAGTCACGGATTATCTATGAATTAAACCCTAAACGCAGCGAACTAGAGGCGAGGGTTCAAAGCATACCGTTTTTAAATTTTTTCAGACTCACCGGATCGTTCCCCAATCATGTTGGACCGTCCTGGACTTGTCGTGGACTGATTGAAACTCCACGAACCCACTGAACTGCTCCTGAGCACGCTGGAGCGCTCTGAACTGGTCCTAAACCGAGCTGACGCGTCCTAGGTCGGATACAAGCTTGCTGGGCCGCAAAACAAAGCAATTGGGCCACGCTGGGTGCGGATTGGGCTGGCCCAATGCCATTGGGCCGCGCTGGGCTGAAGTGGGCTGATCGCGGGCCAAGGATGTGAGGGACGCGGGCGCACGGGCTGCGTACGGGCTGGACACGGGCCGCGCGGCCTGCGCGCTGAATCCACTTCCAAACGGGCCTAGCACGTTGGGCTTCTCCTGCATCTGGGCCGCGCACATTTTACCTGGGCTAATCCTCAGCGGGCTGCTGATACCTGGGTCAACTCCTTGCGGGCTGTGCGTGTGGGCTGACGGACAGGGCTGCTCTCCTGGGCTGCGCGCTGGATGCTGCAAAGGTGAGCTGGGCTGCGCGTGAATTCACCAGCCGAGTGGTCGCGGCACGTGGGCTGCCGGCACGGCGGCTTCCGGCGGTAGCTGGTCTCCGGAATCATGCCGGTCGTCGTGGGATGGTTGTCGGAGGTCGCCGGTCACTCCCAATACATCTGATTTGCACAATTCAGTCTTTCCGTGGAAAACGGACAACCCCACGAGTTACAGAAACATTACGGGGTTGGATAAATATATATAGATCGCTCGACAACCTCAGATCTTCTGTTGTATGACCCGACATCTCATGATCACCTTTGTGGGCGATAGATCAAAGATATCTCTACTGAGATTACTTGGAGAAGAAGAAGAGAACACAAGAGAGAGAAGAGAGCAGACGGGGCGGCGTGCGTTTCTGCTCAATCTCACGCGTGATTCGATCGTGCAAGACTTATGTCCTAATCCCAAAAGATGTGATGTATTTATAAACTACAACAGGACCCTAAGGAGGTATTAAATTGAGCTTCTCCTATTTGGATTAGACTATAGGCCAAGCCTGCCATACCCAAATAGGAATAATCTGTACATTCCACTAAAGTAGTATTATTTAATAAACTCCCAATTTAATTCTCGAACTATATTCGAGTCTCCAATAATAATTACTCGATTTACCTCCTTGTGTTTAAGATACAATGTCTATCAATTAATTTGATTACTGACAATTAAATTAATTGACATCTATAACCGAGACTAGTACCACTCATCACATTCTTATTATGGCGGAATAAATTCCACTGACCAGATTTAACATAATAATCCTTCATGAGCTCATCTCGGGGACATCATCAAACTAACGCACACGGTGACCGTAAATATTCTACCAGCACATCGTACATACAATAATATTACCCAAAACATTAAGTATATTGATCCAGTAAACTGAATCTCACCCAAGTGAATCAAAGTAATATTAGTTGCATGCACATGTCTGTTTATATCTTACGGGTTAAGTGTACACAGTAATTAACTGAGGCCTAGTTCGGTTACGACGATCAGTATAAAACGAACTTCTCCTCTATGGGATCCGTTCAATACACAAAGTATACTAGTGTAACTAATCAGTCAAGACCTGTTGTACGGTTAACACTACAACCATTCGAATGGGGTGTTCATTTCCATTTAGGTTGTGAACCAACGATTCTTGTTTCGCAAGTAACTGATAGAATGATCTTTTGTTCACCCGATGACGACCCATTCTACCTAAGTACAAAACAACAGAACATAGACTGTTTAATTAAACATAATTCTCATTCAAACGGGTTAAGTGTAAATACATATAAAGACAAGCTTTTAGTATATACACCAACATTCTCTTATGAACTCGCTACATGTTTATTGCGGGTTCATTTTTCTTACGTTTTATGTGCGACGTGTGCACTTCTAATTGGTATATGGACTCACGTACTGTGCATGTGTCTGTGAACTAAGGGATTTGAGCTTATATTTGCTCTTAGCTCAGATTTCTTTTCAGATTGAATGGAAAATGTTTTGGGAAAATTAGCTTCGAAATTTATTTCACAAACTTAGCAAATCTACATGGTATCTAGAGCAAGTTCTATAAGCTAGGTCTGCCATGGCGCGCAACAAAACCAGGAACAGTGACGATCGTGACAAAGAAATCGCAATAAGAGGTTATGGTCGAGATTCAGATCCTTTATCTCTCCATGGATCCGATCACCCAGGAATAGTGTTGGTTACAAATCTACTCACCGGCAGAAATGAACTTCATTAGAGTAGAGCTATGAAGCTGGCCTTGGGAGCTAAATCGAAACTCGGCTTTATTCTCGGACCCATTGAAATACCAGATCAGCGATCAGAGGATTTTGAGCAATATCAGAAGGTCGAATTTATGGTAATCTCTTGGCTTCTAAACTCTATTTCAAAGGACATCGTTGAGGCCTTCATATGTGTTAAAAGTTCCAAACAATTATGGGATGAATTAGCTGAGAGGTATAGGGAAAGTAATGGTCCTCTGAGATATTAACTTCAAAAGGAAATAGCCACGTTTTCTCAAGGAAATTTCTCAGTTACAGTCTATTATACAAAATTGAAATGCTTATGGGATGAGTATACATGATTAGTATCTTTGCCTGAGTGCGTCTGTGGTAATGGGAAAGCTTTTATTGAAAATGATATGGAAATCAAGCTTATGCAATTCCTTATGGGCTTGAATGATGTGTTTGAACCTGTGAGGAATCAAATTCTGTTAATGGATCCATTCCAACGGTTAACAAGGCATATTTCATGTTATTGAAAGTGAGAAGCAAAAGACTACAACATTTAACATGTCGAAAGCCTTGGAAAACTCAGCAAGGTTCATAAAAGGGAATTATGGGAGAGGAGGTGGAAATAATATGGTTTATGAAAAGGGAAATATGCTGAAGGATGTACCATCTGGGAACAATTTCAATTATGCTAGCAGAGGTAGAAGCAATCAGAGACTCAGCAAAGAAGAGAGGGCCAAACTTCGATGTACACATTGTGGTTATAGTGGCCATGAAATACATGGGTGTTTTAAAATCAATGGATATCCAGATTGGTACAACGAATTGAAAGAGCAAAGACAAAATCAGAACATAAACTTAGCTGAAAGTGATGGAAGTAGCAAAGGTGATATGAAGACAAAATCACAACAAAGTGAATCTATCTCTGAACTAGGTTCTCTTATACAGAAAGAAATTGCTAAGTATATGTCAGGACGTCAAGCTGGTGAGAATCATTCCTTCTCACACTTTGTCAACCATTCAGTAGATGTTGAAGATTATGCTTTCTCTCTATTGAACAAGTTGGAAAGAGGAAGTTGTTGGGTTCGCTATACCGTACGGAGTGAAACGCAGTGAAAATAAAACAAAATAAATAAGCATTTATCTAATAAATACTAAACCCCTTGGTTAAAATAGTGATTGTTACGATCAACATCTTTTAAAATCAAGTAAAAATACGAATTTTGATTTGTAGACTGGCTCTAGTGAAAACATACCTTTAAGACTGGCTCTAGTGAAAACATACCTTTTGGGGCTTAGGATCTATCCACCTTCGTTTAATGTGAACTCTAGTGTTTGATGTTGAACTCTAGTGATATAGAGTTAAGTTCGGACTCTAGATGTTCCTCGTTATGAGGTTCAGTATGTTGTTATCGAGAGAAGTTATGCCCATAGCAGTTTCCTTTGCTATATAATTTTATTCAATGTCTTCAAGGGAAGACCCGGTCAATGAGAATCGGGAATGTATTCGCCTTCTTCGGACCTTTGCCAGGTTTCGAAAATTATGAGTTGAGTCGATGTTTTATAGGTTGTCAGTATCATGGAGGTTCATGGCCTCTGTTCAACCTCTGGTATGTTATGTGTTTAATGTCTCTTATGCCTTAGTAAGGGTGAGTTCATGCTAGCTCGAAGCATGATTAGTTGGGCAAGAGATTAGAATATGTGTTTATTTGATGCTCTAGCATGTTTATGTGTTTCGGTTAAAAGCTAGAAATACCTCTCAAACTTGTGATATGATGAGATAAGTATATTTGGTTGAGGGTCTCATTTATATCATGATACATTTGGTCGGGTTCATTTGATATATATGTGATCTTCGATGATTGAGGTTGAATTTATGTATTAATGTGAATTGTTATATATTATCAAACCAAAAGATGTAATAATTTAAGTGAAAGGCATAAGACTTTATTTTCTATCTTGTTTAATAAGACCGAGTTGGACCTCGGACAACGTGTTTGATGATATTGATGTGTAAATCTTAAAGTATTGATATCGAGGCTTGCTTAACGTGTAATTTACGTGATTCTGAAACCATCTTGTGGTACAAATATTTTAAGTTGTCAAAGGCATGAAAATTAAATTTTTCGAGCTTCATTTAGGCTCTGTTTTTGTCAAACAAGATGATGTTTCTTGGACAAGTGTTCTTCATGAGATATGTAGTGCTTTGAGTGAAGTTTCTGTGAGTTTTGGAATTTTATGATTTGGGGTTAAATGAATTTGTTATGATTTTTTTAAAGTTCGTCGAGCATGCTGTTTTGATAAACTCGGGCAGAAGGATTTGATTTTAGTTCATGGCTATTTATGATGATCTTAACATGCCTGAATAGAAATGGGTTCTTCATGACAAATGTATTATATGATATAAGCTGCCCGTAGGAATTGGAATTATGTAATTTCGAATTTTGGTTGATTTTATATGATTTTTCTAAGTTGGATTTATGCCCAAGATTGTGAAACAGTGGCTGTGTGTATGCATGAAATGTATGCTCTGAATTGATGCCTTTAACGTGATTATATGTAAAAATGTTCTTTATGAAAATTTTAGTTTTCCTTGTGTAGTTTCTGTAGGTTTTGGTTTTTATATGATTTGGATTTCCAGTTGATTTTGTATAACTTTTGTAAGTGGGATGTACATCCAATTTTTATGAAACCAGAATTTTGTTTAAGTGTTGAATGTGTACTCGGTTTAGGTGACCTAAACGTGTTCTTATGAAACAGTCTTCTTCATGAAATTTGTATATTCCCATGTGTAGATTATATAGGTTTTGAGTTTGTATGGATTAGAGTTGTGTAACGTGAGTTGTTGCTATTTTACTAAGGTGCTGTATTTTAAAAAAAAAAAAAATTGTTCTTTGGCTGTTTTTGCAAACTAAATGTTTTATATTCGAACTTGTTGATAATGTTATAATTTGCCAATGGGGTCTTCAGAGAAGAGGTAGGGAATTGATTTAGATACCTTGGGGTTTTTGAATTTCAATAATATTATGTCTGTAGCTTCGGTTATTGTGCATACATTGAGAACCTGTCAAGCTGCATATCTTTATTTATCCACTGCACCCATGTTTTGGATGTTTGCTGTATTATGTGCCTTTAAATGACTTTATCCGCTTGAGTGTTCTTCATGAAAGTGATAGAGACATGAGTTAGGGATATCTGCCAAGTGGTTTCATCATGATATGATTTGTGGACTGAAAGCTACATGCATTTTTAATTCACCACGCATGCTGGAAATTTGTGCTAGTTCATGTTTAGGTTTTCAAAATGAATTGTCAATTTTAAAAAAATTTAGCTTTTCGTCAACTTTCATGTTTATGTGCCCTATGTGACTTAATCTGATTGGTATTATGATGTTACCTGGAAACACTTGCGATGGAAGCTTTACGCTAGACCTCGAAGTGTGGAGGCTATAGTTGTATATGTGGTCGATCTCGTTTAGGACCACCGGCACGATTAGCTACTTGAGTAAAAGCTGTCGTGACGGCCGACATTGTTAGTCGGAAGGGTCAAGCGAGCTAACCATTCTAATGTTCGGCGATGACCGCCGAGGTTAGGATTTTTCCGGGCAGTGGTGCCAATGTTCGATTTCTATAGGAAATTGTAGCTCAATAGTGTTTGCTTAAATTGTTGTGGTTGGGAAAGTCTTGTAAGGAAGCCTTTTTCCTATCTGAGTATCTAGGAATCTATGGACCCGGAAATTTAAAATTTCTGGAGTGTACCTTAAACTGAACGCCGAACCTGGATGGGTGTAGCCACGCGAAGTGGTGGCCGAGCCCGCACGCCCGTGCTGAGAGACGTGAGGCCAACTGCAGTGGCCGACCGTTGACTCGCACGAGAGCTGCCGCCGCCATCACCGAACGCAGGAACTCCCCAGGCAGTGTGTACGGCCAAACCTTGATCTTGCAGCTGGTCTCTGAACAGGTGCATGCACACGTCCTGGCGCCCCGCTTATGCAGCGCCTGTGTGTGTGTCATCTCTCGGGTGACAGTGCCATAAACTCCAAACCGAACCGTTGTATGAAACCCCTAATCAACGACTCTCGATATGTGAGGCTTGTCGATTAGTTTTCCTTTGTCTTATGCGAAATTCTCTCGTGATAGCGAGAATTCGGTCCCTCATCGTTTTCGGGCAGTGTCCCGAGCCTCGATTGGAGACTATGTATACTTCGTAGGGATCGAGACCTACGAAGAGTGAGAGAGTATTGGTGTTAGATCGTTAGTATGGGAATATCGAGCATCCCTAATCGTGAGACCAATTCTGTGATAGGAGATTGTTTTCGAACATCTAGTCGATATTTCCTAAACCGCATTCGAGTTGTTATTCGAGTCGGCAAAGGAAGAGTTATTGACAACGGTATCAAACAGAGCCGTGTGTTCTGTAGGTATCGGTGTTGAGGATATAGTGTTATTGTGGATTGTTAGCCCATCCGTATGGGATTTTCTGTGGTGGTCTGTTTTATAAGGACGCACAGATCATGTCGTTGTAGTAATCAACTTTCTACCGTGACCCGGGCACGAGATGGAAGCTCGATACAACAAGTCAACCCTATATGTTGATTATGTTGGAGTATGCTATCGAGACACGAAAGGACCGGTTAGGGTCTTGTGTATTGATAGAGGAGTAGAGTGTGAGAATACCTTACCATGGGG